GTGGCGCTACTGAGGACTTCCGCCAGAGGGGCGAGCTATAGGAGAGAATCTCTGGATAGTCGCATGGAAGTTTGGTTTTTAAACACACACGTGTTTGCACACAACCCATACTAATTACTAATTTATTACTGTAATTGTGCTTAAAATTTCCAGTCACATAATGGAATGCCGTTAAAATGTGTGGAAAATTTTCTAAATAACCCTGTTTAGGACTAGATTGTGCGCCTACTCGATTTTCCACTACAATCGATTCTGTTATGGTCTCCAGTAGTAAATATTCATACAAACTTGTTTCTTATTTGCAAAATCGTTACAAACACAGAGATACTCACGTACTCGGAATATAATGTTCATCACAACATGTTGAAGCTGAGGAAGTAAGCAAGGAGGTGTTGTGCAACCAACCACTTCAATGAAAACAGGAAGTTCTCCTGTGTTGCTTATACCTAAAACAAAAATAACTATAAATACAAAATGCATTTAATTCGTAGAAACAAATTCTTCCGAGTGTTCAAACTCGTTTTGGTACACTCAAAAGTAGTGATAGTAAAACAAAACAACATAAAAATAAAAAGAAACAAAACTTTGTTTCCATCAAATCCATTTGAATGGTTCATTATTTTTATTTATTATTAGCCGTTGCCATTATTAGCCAGTGGGTTTAAAAATAATTCCTTAAGTATACATACATGTATTGCCCTCTAGTGTCGAATATCAGTATTATTAGTTTCTTCCAGGCGACGTGGTTATACAGGTACTCACTAGGTGGCGTGTAAAAAGATGCGTCATATACGGTTCCAAAGGTCAATTTATTGTTGAGTAACAAAATGTTCGTTATCAATCTCAAATTCAAATTGATACCAAGAAAATTAAATCATTTTAAATACAAGTCACTTTGAATGAGATTTATACAGTATTTAGGTGCGCATGAAACTTGTGAACAAAGACGCTGTTAATGCAGTCAACATTTTGTTTTTTTTTTATTTGTAACTGTAGATGTAACAGGTATTGACGATTGTAATTGTTTGTTTTCTACCACTATCACGAATGATGCAATTTAATAATGTGATATCATAATTTAATATCGTACACAAAACCACATACTGTCGTAATTCAAAGTTGTGGCATTGATGAAACACAATTTGAAAACAAAAAAGAAAAACTCAATGAAATTATACTATGTAATAATTTAATATGATTAAATAGTGTAACTTATGAACTTAGTCCTCTGACATTGGTGTGCCCTTGCAGGGCATCACGTGATTACCACCAATGAACCTGATTCACAATACCGAAAGTCGCAACATCGATGGCCTTTGCTTCGAAAACGTTACATCGATTGGTCGTTACAGCCAAAGTTTGTTAAATCAACGGTACGCCACATCGACAGGACACTATATCGAAGGTCTATAAAGCCGGGTCTATAAAACTCACTAGCGAGCTGTAACTGTAACCGTTGCATGTTATGTAACCAAAAATCATAGTGTGTACGTGGTTCGCGAGCTTGCCTTCAAGCTCGCGAACCACGTACACACTATGATTCTTGGTGCAGTGAGCCGTCTAATTGAAGACTGTTTCAAGCGTAGGGGAGCGTGGGGGAATGATAACCTACTAAGGAAAATTGACAATAAAAATCATAGTTTATGCAATTAAAATTTTTATTAGTTATGAACATACGCTTCATATATCTGGGTACTAAATAATCACAGAAAAAAATATGAAACTA